TTTTTGCCAACACTTCTATCAAAGGCATTACTAAAATTTAATGGAGAGTAAATGTTTTCTAAAGGTCTGTAGAAGAGTGCATTTGATTCAAATAAAGTGATACAAAAGTTATGTCAAAAAAGACAAAAATAAAACATGCCTCGGAAGTGACTATTATTCCAACATTTTTAAAACTTAAAGAGGGAGATAAAAGAACACTAGAAACAGCTCTGTTTGTCACTTTCTTCTCCCTGTTGGACTGCTGAATACCAAGAATTACCTCTCAGTTGAGAGAGTTACCTGCTCTACCAAAGACTTCCAGAACTCATGCTCATTTTGACAGTCAAGGTCCATACTTTTCAAAGCTAAACTGTCCAATAAAACATTCTTTTCTCAATTTATCCAACCGACATTTCACACAGCTGCTCTGGGCTGTTGATTGACTAAAAGGCATGCAAATCAAGATTATCTGTGTATAACTGGAAATTCGAATCATATTATTTCATTATTTCCTCTGCTTAGTACATATGTTACTTATACTTAATTTCAATGATGCAACTCTGTGCACACATGGAGGAGCAGCCACTATGCAGCATCAAGAAAGTAGCAGACACTGATTTGTTTTCCCACTTCCTCCCCCCTGCTCCTGATAGTTTCTAATTGAACTGTAATCTCCTGTGATTAGCTGTACATTAACAGGCTTATCAAAACACAGAAGCAATACTGAAAAGGTATCCATAAGTTCCTATACATCCAATTGAGAACCATCTTCAATATCATGAAAAGTCAGAATTTGATTGTTCCTTCATTTCTCAGCTGCTGCTTTCTCAAATTAGGAGTTATTATTTGGCAGCAAAGCCAAAACCAGACGCTGACGTCCTGTCAAAGATGACAAATACTTGCATGATGAGTTCCATTCTCCTCAAGTGAGCCTTACACCCCCCAACAGCTCGCTCAGGACGTAGCTACAGCCCCAAAGTCATACCCAAGATCGTATCAGCACCTTCACTTGGCACACAAAACAATGCAACTTCCTCCTGTAACCCACAAAAACACTGTGTTTAGTCATGCCTTCAACTTCATGATTTAGGGTTTACTAACCCACGTTTGAAAGGATCAAAAGTGAAACTGCTGTTTTCTGACCAGTGCACAGCAGAAGGGGAGGGTCACATTTCCTTCCAGAAGGAAGGTTTCTTGCCTCAACACCAATCCCTGTCAGGTCTTCAACAACTTCTTGAGTAGCACAAACACAATCAAGTTCAGAATACAAAAGACGTCACATAATGTTTCTTGATAATGCTCATCTGTCTCAAGTTAACTTAACCTGACCCTGTTCCATGGGGAGCTCACTGAATGATGTCAGACAAGCTCATCTTAGTTTGGCTTGGTTTTCTCCTATAAACCAACCAGCTTCCTAAATTTGCTCACTATGCTGATAAAAGACCACAAAAGAAAGCTTAACACAAACAGGTGTCTTCCAGAAAAAGGGCTTCGGTCAGGCGCTGCAGCTTTTACCAAATTACAACTATTCTGACAAATATAACATTTCTTAAAACCCTTACATATCACAGCACAGTTAAGTATTACTAAAGACAGAAGATGCACCTATGTAACTAGTGCCAAAGAGCAACTGCCAAACAAAAAATACAGCAAATATTCCACTTCTGTACCTATGCTGTCTGAGCCTCTAATTTAAACATCAATAGTTAGCTTAATAATCTGGCACTTTTTTAGTCACTGCCTACAACTGAAAAGATTAGAAAGTAAGAGGATGCTATCTGTAGCCTTGTCTGAATCATATCAGTGCCCCTTACATCCTAGGGAGATCAAGCCCAGTTCTCATTTTTAAACTCTTTGCTTTAAAATAACTAAATGAACTATCAATAGGAATAGTCAAACAATCACAGGATTTTTAGCCATACTTACATCAAAATTAAGGTTTCTCAATTTATTTTCAAAAATCATCTTATGAACTGTAAGAATGGGGAAGTCTTCTAGATACAGAAAAATCTGAACCAATTTGTCCCAAAGTGTTTAGTCTACAGAGTATTTTTGACTGAGTTTGACCTTTTCTCCAATGAAATGTATTTCTAAGTAGGACATGTTAGAATGACAGAACAGTTAGGATTGGAAGGGTCCTTAGGAAATCATCCAGTCCAAACCCCTACCTGGAGCAGGCAACACAGGAACATGTCCAGGTGGGTCCGGAATGTCTCAAGAGAGAGAGCCCATGACCTCCATGGGCAGCCTGTTCCAGTGCTCTGCCACCCTCAATGTAAAGTTATTCTTCCTCATGTTAAGGTGAAACTTCTTGTGTTTTTAGTTTACGGCCATTGCTTCTCATCCTGTCACTGAGAATCACTGAAAAGAGTCTGGCATCAACCTCTTGGCACCAGATTTGAGATATTTATATGCACTGGTGAGATTCCCTCAGAATACTGGGAGTTATTACACTACATCAGTAGACTTTCTACAAACCGGTTCCATAAACCAACCATCAATGCTAAGATTCTGTTTTAAAGCACATCCAGGTGCTTTAAAGCACATCCAGGCGCATCCTACTGAGCACTAGCCTACCCCAGACAAAAGCATAGTCGTTCTAAGAGAGAACTTAAGACTTATTCCCATTCTCTCAAGCGTTTTTTTTCTTGCTTTACCAAGGACAGCTGTGTTTAAAGATCTGGTGGTTTCCTAGCATAATGGCAGTAAAAAACCGCTGTGCTGCCACCACAAAGCATCAGCAATTTTAACTGGCATGTGCACCGCAGAACTGCAATGCAGCAGAAAACCATGAAGCCAAGGTTTACTATCACATTTTAAGGGACAGATGGAGAGAAAGGGGCTTTCCAACTAGACTTTTTAAAAATAAGAGAACAGAAAAATCACAGCAAGTTAAAGTGAGCACATAAACGTTTGCAAATTTTAAGGCAATTGAACAAGAGAAGAAAGAAAAACATACAAGAAAGTAACAGAAGCTGTGAAATTGAACAGCCCTCCATCTCTCTGCATAAACAAGTTCTTTCATGTACCCATGAAACCAGAGCACAGTCTGTGGAGAACTGTGCAGGATTTAACCCCAACTCCCTTTTCCTTCTCCTCTGCTAAATTCACATCGTGACCCCCTCACCAGCACCAAAAGTTACCTTCAGCACCAAAAGTTACTTTTTCCAGCGATCTGCTCCTGAAAACAACCAGTCTATTCCCTCAGACAAACTGTTCTGAACAGCAGCTCCAGGGAACTGACAGCAGGTACCAACAGCTGTCAGAACATTAATTCCACACCAAAACCACATAAAGAAGGGATGAGAACAGAACTCCCAAGAGGGGAAACAGACATTTGTGGCACTAAGGCATACACTCAAGGAAATCTGATTATCCCACCTGCAGGACAGGGCTGGTTAGAGGGTTTTTACTTTTTTTAGCCTCAAAATTACTATAAGCTAGCTTTAATATCAACAGTTAATGTCCAACAGTTTCAAACTAAAAATTATAGTCCCTGCAAAACATATGTCTGTGTACTAGCTTCAAAGTCATTTTCACTCTTTTTAAGAACTAAACCATATTTTATGGCAATATCAGACTTTTTATCTTCATTCCCAGAAGATAACAAACCCCAACACTTGCATGCAAAACCCAATAGAGCACCAAGTTACAATTTTTCACACATACCTGTGAAAAGTATGCATTGCAGAAAAGCAGTTTCCTATTAAAATCACTTCCCCATTTTTTATATGGTGCAGCCCCTTGAAACACCACTACCATAAAATATGGCTTTGGAAAAGGCAGTTCTCTGCTGTGCCTTTGCTCAAGCACACAATTACAGTGAGCACAAGCCAACCTTCCAGCCAGTGCACTCAGCTAAAGTTCATTGTCTTAACTACATCAACTTTTGGTTTGCTTGAAGACGGCAACCAGAATGTAAAGGTCACTTTTAGTCTTTGAAGGGAGTGTCAGCCTTCAGCTGCTACAGATCAGACACTACATACAAACAGGAGGAATTTTACTTTAAGCCCCTCTTTAAATGGTACCTTTCATTTATACAAGTAGGAAAGAGTCAAAAATAATGTGCAGGATTTAACCTCACGACCTTAAGGCCTACAGTGCATGGAGATGTTAAACTAAATCACGCTAACATAAGCATGCCATAATCACCCTGATACTCTGCTACTCAAAAAGCAGATTCCCATTTCAAGTGAAAATTGAGGCATTACCTCTTTAGGACAGGGAACTCCTTGACCAGCTCTGTAGTCAGGGTTTTCCCCTCAAAGGTTCTTGTGTAATTCCAGTATGGAAATGAAGCTATAAATACACTGAAGTGGCAGCTATATGGAAAAAAGTTGGCATATTAAGAGACTGATTAATGAGATTGATAAATGAGGGCAAACTCTGTCCATTTAATGTCCACAGACAGCACCCTACACGGGATTTAGAGTTTGAGCAGAAAATTTATTAGAAGTCTTTAAAAACATGAATACTGCTCTTAATTCCTCCACACTGGTAAGATATCCTGTGAATACACACACAGACATAGAAAATATTCATAAATAATACAGTCCATGTCCAATTCAGCAGAGAAGCAGAACCCTGCTCTGACCCATCAGGACGTTCTCTTTCCTTCGCACAAAGAGGATTTTTGACATTAGGAACCAGAGACCCAAAAACCCAAATATTGGTTTTTAATTTAATGAGAGACTCATTTCAGAAATTTCCTGCAATTAAAATAATGCCCAGAACAGTTCTTCAAGAAGAGACTGCCAATCCCCAACAGCCAAAAATAAGGTGGTCACATTAAGATCTCTATTCACAGATTCACAAATAAATCTGAAGTTTAGCTGCTTAAAAAGGAAAACACCGGGGGGGGGGGGTGTTGTTAACTGATGGAGAAGAAAGAAAAGAGAAAAAAAAAAAGGCCCAACATTTTGTCCCCATTACATAGAGGCCGCGAAACAAGGCGGCTGCCAATGGGAAAGGGCTCAGGCAGCAGCGATGACTCCTGGCATCACCCATCCCTCGTACGTGACCTGACAGCCTCCCGAGCGGCCCCGCAGCTCCGCTGTGCCCTGCCATGGAATCTGCCCGCTCAGCAAACGCGCTCCATTTTCTCGCCAGCAGCGCGGTGTCCGCTCTGCCGCAGCCCCTGCGAGCGCAGCCACTGCCAAGCAACAGCGGCAACAACTTCGGCAAAGACACCGGCGCTTCCCTCACAACTCCCTCCCCTTTTTTTCCTGGAGCGGAGAGCAAGGGCAGAGCTCCCCCCGCCCCACCGGGAGCGCTGCCGGGGCATCCCCGGCTCCCGGCGTCCCCGGGCCACCAGCCCCGGGAGCGGCGCGGAGCCGGGGCCGCCCCCGCCCTCCCCGGCATCGGGCACCAGCTCCGGGACAGCAAGTGTTTACGTTCAAAAATACAAATATACCGAGCCCGGACCCAGAGGGAAGGGGGAAAACTCCGCCCCCTCCCTTGCAAAGGCAGTAATAGCTGGGCTGAAACATCTGACTGCTCAGCGCCCCTTTTTTAAGGAAGAAAAGAAAAGAAAAGAAAAGAAAAGAAAAGAAAAGAAAAGAAAAGAAAAGAAAAGAAAAGAAAAGAAAAGA